GGCCTGTTATGGGCTCTGTATGCTTTTCACGTAAAATTCAGCCCATAAACACATCGTTTAAAACGTTTAGGTTCGGTATCAACGGTCTTTCCACGAACATCGAAATGTGCGAATCCCAGCGTTAGAGGCCGACCAACAACTCAAGCAGAGAGGAGGAAGCTTAAGCTCCACTCTCCTCGAGTTTCTCCTTGCCATTTTTCCAGTAAGAGTTTAAGAGGAAAGCAACCCTTCCTTTTTACGTCACCGTTTAGGATTAGAAAGGATTACTCTAGCGCCCAGGTAGTAATCCCATAAAGATATGCACAAGCCGCGCACCTTCTTTCTTCCCCATTTTCTCCTTCTTGACGCTACCCTTCACTTTGACCCTCGGACTTGAAGTACGGACAGAACCGTGGATGCTACGTGCTCGTCGGATCAGTCATACGCTTATCTTTTCCCACGTGGTTACACCCCTGCCCACACCTACGTGCAGGCAGTAGGGTTACCTACCGGCTTGCACGTAGCCTGCGTAGCCGACATAGCTTATTATTTTTTTTATTTTAAATATCTCGCAATTTTTTTTTACACTTTTTCTTAAATTATAGAACGAAGTATGGTTTTTTACTCTTTCAGCAACCGCATCAAATAGTACTAAAACGGACTAATTTTTGCGAATAATTAATTCGGACAAATCTTTCGATGAAAAATTTATCACGCAAATACATCAATCCATCGCAGCCAGTACATAGCGAACCACTTCCAATCGTAACATGTCGTGCCCACTAAATATTCCCGAAATTCATACTTCGCATATCCACAAAATTACGTGACCGCAAAAAAGGTCGTATATACGTTACAACGAACGCTGATGTCTCTGAGCTTTTGTTCTATGTTCTTCTCAAAGAAAAGAATGCGGGACGAGGGCCTAAAAGAATACAAGTCACAGGAGGAGCATGTGGCGGAGCATCAGCTTAGCGTTTCCTAGATACTAGGAACATAAATAGATACGGATACTTGGAAGAAGCCGAGAGACGGTCGCTCGAGAGCTATTGGAAGCTTTCTTTATAAAAAAAAGTGGGACGGCATCTGTCAGCGACACTTCTATTGTTCTTCATTGTAATGAATTTCAGTTTTTGAGTGATCGCGTGAAAAATTAATCAACTTTTACGTGGTGCTGCTTTGCCTGTCGTGTGTATATATGTGTTCAATTTTCCCGAATAAAACTTGTTGAAAGTTAGTGCCTGTCCTGTATACTTCTTGTCCTTGTCTTTCTGCTGCGCTATTTTATGTTTTACCAATTTTTTTTTTTTTTATCTACTTCATTTTTTTTTTTTTTCGCTCTTCTTTTCCGCGTGTGGACAGAGATGCATGCGTGGTGCCCGACAGAGATTCTGGAACTCTACATTCAACATGACAGTTTAAGCATTTAATGAAGAATGCATAATTTTCGTAAGCACAGAGAAAGCAGAAAGCAACGTCAGAAAGCATCAGTCACGTTATCAATACTTTGTTACCGTAATGAATGTCAACAAAGAATATATATTCAACGGGCCGATCAAGAACTGGCCAGTTTGAGTCGCGTTTACTCTCTCCTCCGTGGTCACGTGCCGTTTTTTTTATGATTTAGAGTAGACACATCCACCAAAGATAATCAAAGTCGTGGGTCATTGAAGGCACACACTCACTCCTAAGAATAGACAAAAATATGGTACCCATTTCTTTTTTTTTTTTTTTTTGTGACTTCTAAAAAGCTACAAACACGTTGATTGAAGAAAAAAAAAAAGTTGCACAGCTCTGTGATCTTTCGTTTCGAGCAGCTGCATGTTTTGACTTTATTAAAAAAAAAAAAAAAAAAAAAAAAGTTCGAGGACACCTTAGCACTTACGAGTAGTGAATGCGAAAGCATCAATGTTGTTCTTCGGCTCCCTTAGTTCGTCTGCGGCGGAGTGGCGTGGACGGCCACGTCCACGCCACTACGCCACTGTTGAGGTAGCGGGTGTAGCCCGAAACAACCCATTCCCGTTTGAACCCGTCCCGTTTCGACCCATTCCCGAAACAACCTTCCCGTTTGAACCTGGCCCGTTTCAACCCGTTCCCGAAACGCCCTTCATATTTGAACCCGTAGCCAAGACATATTTTACGTTTGAATTCGTCCCGTTTGAACCCGTTGGTATAAAACCCGCGCATCTCAACCTCTTCTCAAAAAGTGTCCATCGTTCTAATCCTGGTTGGCGCAGTTTTTCTGCTTAAGAATATGTCCCGAAATCATGTTAATGCAATTAATACAAAGGTGCAGGCGAGCAACTCAGGTATGTTGTGAAATATTTTTGCTTGTAAACGTATTATTACAATATGCGATACTTTCAGACAAGCTTCGAGGAAATATATTTCTACTTCAACCACTTAAAATATTTCTTTCAAGTCCCCAAAATGTGTAATTACAAAATGGACTATTTACACTGCGCGACTACGTTACCACGAGCACGATTTTGACGATTTTTCGAATTTTACTTCGAAATGGTATTACAAGGTATCACATTTTACCGCTTAGGTTAGTGGCCCAGATGAGCACTTTGAAACACACTAGTAATATTGATGACAGTCTTCTGATTTTTTTGTAGACAAACAGCTAAAACCAACAATCACTTGTTCGCGCTAACGGTTTCGCGCTCTGTACAATAACAGGGAGCTTTCGTACACCATTTTCGAAGTCACGCGAAGCTCCTTCGCAACCCGCTACGATACCCAGAACTCTACAGTCAAGGCCATCGGCGCGCAGGCGCAGTAGCGGCTTCTTCGTTGCGGAGGGCTTAGCGAAAAAGGAAACGCGGTCTACGAAACCAGCTGATGAAGTCTTAGAGTAACGCAGGCAAGCACTTTGAGTAAGCAAAAATTACCGTTGCCTAAGTTTTTATATCGCGACGCTACTTTTAGGTTACCCAAAGCGCTTACGTACGTTATTCTAAAACTTCTCTATAGTGAACGGGATACTTTTTAAAAGTGATAAATCAGACAGGCTGACGGACATATGATTGCGACTTCATTTTTTTACAAGTTCAAACACAGAACCGTCGCGTACACAGCCAAAAAATCATAAACCACAAAATGCTGTCGCCTTGGTGGAGGAAGTCGAGAAGGTAAATCGCGCCATCAGAAGGCGGCACTCCAATTGTGATAGTTCGCGGCGGTCACCTGGCCCGCACGGCACCACCATTTGCAAGCTGTGCAGCGATGTCCTTCTCAAGGGTCATCCCGTTTGCTGGGTCGATGAAGTTGAAAAATGGTCGGGTGAGCCCTCCCTGACAAAGCATTTATCTTACAGTGCCATGTCTCCGAGGTTGTTTCGGGAGGGGGAGAAGTGATGTGAGCAAGGAGAACAGACACTGGACACTTGAACCTAATCAACTGTTAACGAACAATACAAACTAACCGAACGATGGCCGAACGGGAAGGTTGTTTCGGGAAAGGGCGAAATGGGAAAGGATGAAACGGGAAGGTCGTTTTGAGACCGGTCGAAACGGGAAAGGATGAAACGGGAAGGTCGTTTCGAGACGGGTCGAAACGGGAAGGTACAAACGGGAAGGTTGTTTTGGGAATGGGTCGAAACGGGAACCATCCGAGGTAGCGGCCGACGGCAAAGGGCACGCTCTCGGGAAATGGCCGCGCCTTGCTGGGCCGTGCAGCCTCTCGGGAGTTTGCCCGAGCGGGCTCCCTCTTACCAGCGGCTGGGCCGCTGCGTGCGCTGCGCCACCATGGAGAGGGCTTCTCTGGTGGCGTTAGTTTTTAACTACGCCGCACGAGAGCCACTGGGAGCCTCGTTCCTTGATGACGCGGGCCAGCCAGTGGGAGCCTATCCATCAGATCGCGGCTTTACTTCGCTCCATTTAGAAAGGGGAGTTTAGGTGCCGTTTGGCGAGACTTCGAAGCTGATGACGTTGGTTTGCTCTATGGGACAGTTAATGCTCATTAATATGTGATGCCGTAGCAAAATATTGATTGGGTAGTTTTCCGACACCATAATAAATCGCCTGGCAAAATATAAAAATAAAAATTTGGGGTGGGGGGGATGTCAGTGTCCTTCTAAGTTTGGCACAACTTTGGTATTGCCTAACGGCTTGCAATTAATTGTGCTCGGATTTCATTTGCTTATTTTTATGTCGACCATCCTTTCAAGGAACCACTGATCAGGCAGGAGTCCCCTGTCATGGTTTTGTCAGGCAAGGGGTGCACCGCGCCAGTGTTTCCTGCCGCCTCGGCGGCTCAGGGGGACTTCCAACCCCGCGGAGGGTCCGCCGTTTTGTGTGTTTCCTTTTGGTTACGGGGACGGTGGCCCTCCTGCAGATCCTTCGGGATCCATCGGGTTTTGGTAGGGTGATCATGATGTCCCGTTTTCGCCGGGACAGTCAAGGTGCATCTCTGCTGTCTCGTCATTTACTCCTCAATAAAGCCTCGCGTCCCATTTTCATAGGAATGTCTGCGTGCATAGCTGCAAAATGATCCGAGTGCTAAGCGAGTGGAAGAAATCTAAAATGATAAAATACATTTCTAAACATACTATAAAAATGTTACCTCCCGTAGAGTAAATTCAGAGCACTTTCTGTGGTTCCATCTATCAGTTCATTCCGTTTTCACAGACGTTTGTTTGGGGCGCTTTTTTATATTTACTACATTTGGCATGCTTCGGTTGTTTAAAAATGAAAAATATGTGCTTGGGTACGCAACTAAACAAAGAATTTTGGAAAACTGTTCATTTCTACAGCAAACTATATAGTAGCAGAGCTGCTTTCGTGCTTTTTTCATTTGGCGCTAAGATAGTGCGAGAGATTTTTCGCCCCTAAAATGTAAAATGTCGTAAAGATGAACACATTTGTAGGTTTGTGAGATCTTCGCAGCAATCTTTCGGCTCCTTCCCCGCTATGTCACAACACAAAAAATCTTTGTGTCCGACTAGTTTAGCGACCCTGGTGTGAAACTAGACATCGTATCTTTTGATGCCATGACTGCAGACACTATGCAAAACACACATGGAGTCCACATTTATTAAATCCCAGTGCAAGGGCCATTGGAAGCCTCTTGTGGCCAGCTTTACACAATTAAAGGCACACTCTTTAGCACAGTAAAGTCTTGCACGCCACGGTGTTTTTATGCACATCCCACTTATCCGACGCCCCATAAACTGAATTTCTGCTTTGAGAGTCAGGCACCATCAAAGTAATGGAAGGATTTTGTTATCCCACCAACTGCTGGGCTAACCAAATCACCGGTTATCCCACCAACTGAGGCAGGCGACACCAGTGCTGGGACTGAGCCTGCGCGAGCGGCGCTACAGTGCAGTTGCAGGTTGTGCTCGCTCAGATGGCAACGGCCACCTCGTTGAGGATGTCTCGGAGGCGTGCCAGGAGGGCCTCCAGCGCTTCGGGGCTGCGTAGGCCACTGGGCAGGCTGCGGTGCAGCAGCACCAGCACATTGCGGTACTCCGCTTCCTGGAACTGGCACCCGTGCTCCACTATCAGGTTCAGCACGTCCTGCGGTCACCCGGAAAAAGCCTCGTCTGAAACCCCCGGACTCTTCCCGGGCGGTCAGTGTGTTTCCAACTGTACCGGCCCTAAATTGACCGGTCTGCTCATGGGACATTCAAAGTGTCTGAAAGCTCCCGAGGCTCAGTGCACCAAAATTGAGAACGGGTCCACTGTACGAGCCTTGCATGCACCCGGTACAGGCATTTTAATGCATGTCGGTTCCTAAAGCTAGAAAAACACCAATTAGTTCAGCCAACAGGCAAACCAACATTACTACCAACTAAAGTGGGATAGCACTTCCAGGTAGGGCAAGATAAAAGAATAGACCTCCTTGAAAGCGTGATTGTGTCCCAGAGTGCTGTCCCTCTTGCGGCTCAGACGGTTCCGTCTTTTCCCAGTGCTAATGCTACGGAGGGTAAAACCCCCGCCCTCACCTCGGGTGAGTGGTAGAGCAGCTCAAAGTACTGCCGGGCATAGTCCAGGGCCACTTCCCGGTTCATTGTGATGCTCGTCAGGTTCTGCTGCATTGCAAAGATGTTTCTGCACCTGCAACAGGGCGCACCTTCAGCAATACATTCCCGACATTTCCTCGCCCCATCTTGCTGGTGCTCTTCGGGGCTTCCGTGCAGTTAACCGGCAATTTTCGAGGAATAGTGGAGAATACTCCTAGAGGGACTTTTTGACTGTTGTAAAACAAGGAAAGTGGCCTCACCTAGAACATACAGCTCTTGCAGCATCGAGCAGAAAATATCTTCAGAGTAGGACAATTAAGAGCATGAAATGAACATGGGCAAAAAGGTCCCCCAAAAAACTGCATAGTGTTCAAGATGGAAATGCCATCTTGAGTATGCTCGTTCAGGCGCTTGCACCTGAGAAAGCAAACATTAAATTTTCCCCGTGGGACCAGAATTTCCAATAGAATGTAAGAAAAATGAATTTTTTTTATTTACAGAATACTGCAAGTCAGTATTGTGGTCCAAGCAAGAGTGAATTTAATGTTTATGTGGAGGTAAAATACTAGAGATTATACGAAGCAAATGGAAGAAAGGTAAAGTAAACTTTGGGGGATCACGACGCAGACCAACACCGAGCACTTGGCACGCCTTAGCAAAGGACTGAAGAATAATTTAAACCACATAGGAACTTCTAGACAGACGACTAACACCTAAATTATATGGCACCTTCTCTGCAGGGCTTCAAGAAAGGTTAAAGGCTTGTTCCACCAAATCCCAGGAACCCAGAGCCTGAACAAAGTTGGACGGCCCCAAAAGTCAATATGTACATAGTCTGTTTCACTTGAAAACTATAGTGCTGAAAGAAATTTAGCTGATTAACTTTGTATCTGCTATTACAATGACTGAAGAAATCCAGGTTTCAAATTATCTGCACTTAGAAAGAGCAGAAGATAAATAAAATGCAACTCCACAAGCTGTAAATAAAGACATACTTTTAGACACAGCATTAATGCAAGTTTTGATCCTGAATGAAACATCTACTTTGAGCTACTGTTGCTAACGCAGCATCACATACATGAATAAGCCGCCTCGGCGGCTCCGAGGCAAAGCGCCGGCCTATGGGTCCCCAGGTGGTGGTTTCAAATCCCAGCCGAGGTGCCCAGAATCTGGCGGAGGCTTATTGCGGAGAAGATCCCCAGGTGGTCAAAATTAATCCTTAGTTCTTCGCTGGGGCGTGCCAGATGCCCTTTGCTGGTTTGGCACATAGAACTCCCAAATTTGACTTCGACCACTTAGGCGGCTGCCATTTCGATGATGTACTGTTCCGATATTGTGCTATTTTGGCACATGCTCTTCTCTCGCAGTGCCACTTTGACACTGTGCAGTTTTGTTGCTTGCTATATTGATGTATGCCATTTTGATCGTGCTGTTTTATCGTATGCTGTTCCGTTGCATTGCCGGTTTTGGCATCACCTTCATTTGCTGTTTCCTCAACAGCTATTCTAGTCTGAATCTTGAGACACTATCATATTCACTCGAGTAATAGCTGCACTGTTTATGAAGAAAACCTGAGGGTTCACTTTTCCGCGGAGCACGCGAATTGCCAATCACCGCAATCGACAGCGTGATTCCAGCGGTTTACAGGGCAGAGATAACGTCTTCGCACGAAGATACCATCTGTGACGATTGCATTTGCATGGAGAATAATCGTGTTCTCGATCTAGTTATTCGCTATGTAATTTATGCGCAACGCGATGATACGGTATATATGTTTTGCGGGAAAGCAGATGCAAGGGCCTTGTTCATAAATAGTGCAGCTATTACTCAAGTAAATACGGTAATTAGCATGCCAGGGAGGGTCAGGCCCGGAGACTCAGAAAATGTGGTCAGTCTGGGGAGCTTAAAGCATTGGCGGAATACCCCTATACACTTTGTGCCTGTGGCCGTGCGGCATTTTCTAAGGACAATGTGTGGCACCATCTCTCGATATAAGCATCATATGTGAGTGTAGACCATCTGTATCCCAGTCTGGAGTTCTAAGTTGCACGGATGTCATTCTTATTTAGGAAAATGGAGCTATGCCTTAAAGTTTCACCAGGTAAAAACATGCACCACTAAAATATCTTTTGGATGAAAATCTTAGATTGTTACATGTGGGCGGTGTTTTTTTCCAGTTCATTATGCAGCAGCCCAAAGATCGATCCTACCTTATAGACTGGTTATCCAAGAGTGCTTGCCGCCCCTCCAGTTAACCATGACAAAGGCTAATTGAGCCATACTCCGTTTGATCCCAAGATGTATCACAACGAAGGTCAGAAGCCCGACACGATAGCTTCGGCAGTTGCTCCTACTGCACAAGAGTTGGTGCAGCCGAGGTGCGTTGGAGCTTGCACTTGCACCCTTCACTGCGGTACATCTGTGGGTGACGGCCCTTCCTGCACCGGCACTATGGTGCCTGCAACGTGCCTCCAACTGGAGTGTTTACCGCATCCTTGTTTGTCGTCCCTCCATTTCCGCCTCATGATGTCACACTCACGTCATGCTGTTGCCTGTCGCAATTCTGGAGGTGGCAAAGCAGCGGAGGGGAATACGGCAGACGCCTGTTTTGCTGTAGGTCGCTCTCCAGCTCGACAGTCCTCAGAATCTTCAGCAGCCACGAATTGGGACACTGCAACGGCAGCAACGTTTATGTTCGCTCGTCTTTTTTTTTGCTGTAACATCTACGACCAGCCGCCAAAATCGCGACATCAGACAGCTTGGTAAGCCGGCTCGAGCGACGTCATTTGTCGTTGCTAGGGGACTCCCTTCGATGCGGGGCACTAAACATGCCGGTTGAAGACACATTCCAGACACGGGTACTGAGCATCCCTGCTGGCCGCCGTCGGGGCCAACCGTCTCCACCCGACGACCCAACAAAGAAAGCGACTTGAAGCCGCATGTTTGGGGTTGTCCCGTGTCCGAGACCAACTTACACCTTCTTGATGCCATTCTCGTTCACCTTCTGGATGCTCGATGCGCTGTTGATCAGAATGGAGGCAATGAGGTGGCCCAGACCCTCAAAGATGTACCTGCAGAGAGGCCACCCTTAGGACCCAGAGAAAAACTTGTGCGCCGACTCACCTGTGCTTCCTCTGTTGCAGGCAGGCGGTCATGGCCTCGTCCATGCTTGACAGGTCCTTGGTGAGCTTTATCACCTCGGGGTCGGGTTCCTGGCTGTCCACTCCACTGGCAAAGTTGCCCTGCAAACAGAACTCGCATGAGGCCCCCGCCGAAACTTCAAAGCGACACTGACACAGTCCCTTGACCTGCTCATATTTCTTTGATTAAGCATTTTCAGTGGGGTCAGATGCCCAGAAATCCCGTTTTCTACTGGGGAAAATGACTTATTGGACGGCCTCCCAAGATCAGCTCTGTTGGCTTCCTCCTCTCCATTTAGTTACCTTTTAAAGCAAGTTAAAAACCCTGGGGTCAGGGTATTGCATGAGGGAGTGGTTAGGAAAATAACGAGGCACACTGTGGAATGGGTACCTTGGAGGGAAGCACTTCAGGCAGGCTGTTGCAGTCACAGATGTTGCCGAGAGAAAAGAAGGAAGAATTCACATTCGCTCCATCATGCTGACAAAAACCACAGAATCTGTCCCGCGCACCTGTGCAGTGCGTGGGACACATTCTATGCTCCCGTACGCAAACCACACTCCGTGTGTGATTCGTAATTTTTTTTTTCCATCGTGCACCACAGATGTCAGCCAGGGCGAGACCGAGCAAATGAGCGTGCTGCACGGGCACTACCTTATAGGGCCCTTGCGCGATGCGCGACGTAAATGAGGCAAGCGGTCACATGGTAAAACGTCACATTGCTCTCGCCGGCACGTTTTGCTGGGAGCTCAATCCTTTCAGACCAGCTGTGCCACGCAGCTCAGTTGCTATAATATCCGATGGCCACCGCGCTGACCTAGGTTCGCCCCACCGGGGATCGAACTTGATATATAAACTTTATATTTAACCGAAAGGTCCATTTACACTGGATTGTTTGCTTAGGTTTTCTTAGATTAAGCTATAAATCACCAGACCGTGCATGCTCCGTATGTCACGTGCAAACCTACAACTCAAACCGGTTGCTATGCTTCATACGAGGAACAGATATCCCGGTGACTTGCGGCGCAAGCACACAAAGCTCCCGTAACATAATGCAGCGTAAGCAGTCAGTGCCGTGTGAGCTGTGCTTTAATGTCGTAAAACGCTCCCACTGTGGCTATGACGCTCATCCATGTCGATCGATCCTGATGCTCGTTCATGATGGTTTTCTCAAAAAAACTTGTAAAACATAATCAGTGTTGTGTTTCCGGAGAAATGAAGGCCAACATTTGCAATGGTGATCAATTCAAGGGAATATGCGAAGCGGTTACGACGGTTAGAAGGGCAGGTGTGATGATCGTGAGGGATCACCCTCACCCGTGGGGCAAAGCAAGATTGTCATTTCTCCCCCTCTAGCCCACCATAATGCGGTGGTAACGTGAATAATGCGTGCAGATAGTAGTCAAATAAAATCTGCCTGAAAGACAGAATTTGGCAATATGCGTGTGTAAACTTGAAAAGGTTAGTGACCTGGGTTTATCTCTTTCCTGACCACGCCCATAGAGCGTCGATCACCCGTGATTGATGGGCACGGAGGCCCATTTTAAAACTTGCGCAATGCTCCCGCGCTCGCTGCATCACCTCGTAGGTAGTTTGAAGACTACATTGGTTTCTGTGTTTCTCCTTCCACATGGCAGCAATGTTTAAGTCGAGCGTGAAACAGAGGGTGCGTCGTCGTCATTCACAGCCATGGCCCGCTTCCACGGGGCCAGTGCATGCTCGCAAGTGTGGCACTTTGTAGGGGTTTACCATGATGATTTTGACCTGAGACTGGGGCAAAAGAAGAACATTTTTTTACAGTAGAAGAGAAAGTAACAGGGACAGACAGCATCTAAGAGACACTGTCTGTCCCTGCTACTTTCTCCTCCACTGTAAAAAAAAATTTCCACCTTCTACCTTAGTCTCAGGTTAAGATCAACATGGTAAACTTCTACCAGCTCGCCTGCGCACTGACCGTAATTCTCCGGAATCCTCCACCAATTTCTCGGACTCTGATAGTAACAGTGGGTCTGATGATGAAGCTAGACTATCATAGTTCAGTTCTGATGACCTGTGCTTCACCACATTGAGAAACTGCTTAGCCAATGACCCGTCAGTAATGAGGGCCGACTTGATTTTTGGTAGCTCCACTATCTTTTTACACGAGAACTCTAGTTTTTGCAGAGCTTTTGGTTGTGAAAATGGGTAATATTTCAAATTTCTATTTTTTTCTAGCTCTTTTTTTACTCAATATATAGCCATATCTTTATTCAGCTTAGATCAATTTCCTTTTTTGTTTGACGAATTATACATTGCATAAGAATTCAAGTATTCTTTGATGTTTACATCATTTAAAAGCCCATTTATTTAGTTTAATTTATATTGTTGGTGTCAAACATGTAAATCCAAGTTTCCTCACAAAATAATGTATCAAAAAGCCACACAAAACAGGCATTTTCCCCACGGTCAGGAAAGAGTTAAGTTCATTGCCTGCACCTTCACAGTGAATAAAAGTGTCATTCTTTGCAAGACTAAGTTCTGAAAATTACTTACTGTGAGTTTGTATCATTCCTACACCACCACAGCTATTCGATAATGAACACCTGCCACTTCCCTCTAGTGCCACAGAAAAACACGCGGGTGTTTCCGATCACGAGCCGCTCCTTCTCACGGGGCGCCACCGTACCGGGACGAAGAGTCCCCGGCGTGCCTTGGCTAGCAGCACCATCGACAGGGGGAATCGCTACTGGCCTTTTGTTCCAAGTAAATCGGATAGCCGCTGTGGTACACGCAAGAGCGCAAAAGAAATGAACGCCACAAGCTGGAAACCCTATGTCGCTCGCAAGAAGCAATGCATGCTTTCCCACGGCTGCTTCGCGTGCTTCTCTCCCAGCTGCTTCGACGGTGTGTCAGACGCCAAAGGACAGCTCTCGTAGAGCCTGATGCAAACACCCACCTGTATCGTGACGGGCAGCAGGTAGTAGAAGCAGTGGACGCGCACCTCGAGGTGCAGCACAAGCAGGCAGGTGTCTGCTACGTCCTGGAAGTCCCTGGCCAGCTCGCCCAGTGCCCTGCAGGGGTCCCCATGACCAACCCGGGAAATGATAAATATCCCACATATTTATATCCAATATTTATCTCCTCTTCATATTTTGTCTATGCAATTCTAGCACAGTTTTAAAGAAAAATCTCGAAGCAGCGCGGCGAGTCTAAAAACTATTGAAAGCCGAGAAACAGATCTTTTGCCAAAAGGACTATGGATCAAAGTGCCATCATTTCTCAAAAAAACATGTTTTTGGTCACGCGTTTTAAGCGCAGACGGCAGCAGACCATCCATGAGTACTTTGGACAATAAAAGGAAGTTTAATTTTAACCGTTTTTCTGCCTTTTCTTTCATTCAATCACTCGGATAATTCAACCAAATTTTCAAGGTCCTGTCGAGGTTGAATTAACGAAATTTACTGTATCCAGCTATCAATTTCAAATTTGGAAAAAAAAGGGAATCATATATAATGATTAACGCAGGTTGTCAGGGCATCTCTGAATAAAATATACTCTTGCATAATGAGCAGTTGGTAAGTAACAATCAATTGCCAAACATCCCCTAATTAAATATTGAAAGATATTTAATGCACTGTGCCACTTAAATGGCACAGTGCAATAAGAAATTTGTTGCCCATTGTCAACATATGACATACCTGTTAGAACTCAGGCAACTGTGTTATCCTTTGGAAAATTTAAGCCGTGAGGAGATCAAGGTGCTGAAACTAAAACTCGAAAGAGCAAAGGAAGTCCCACCCAGAAGCGACACCAGTGTCTGCAGCAGGCATGAGTAGCGAGTCATAGAGAATCAACCTGACAGTGGCGGGTTATTTAAAGGTCACGTGACCGTAGAAAAGGTGCGCCACACTCTCATCTCTCTTTGGGCGGTAAGCTTTCGGTGCTTTTCCCCCTTAGTTTTGGTGGATTCTAGACAGCTGAACTTTGCCACTGAATAGTGCAGAGAATTTAGTTCTCCAACTTCTAACAACTGCTATACAGTGAAACCCGTTTATAACGAACAGCAGGGAACGGTATGATCAGTTCGATATAGGAAGCAATTCGATATAGCAAAAACCATTTACAACGAACTTCCACAATGCGTTCGTTGTAAGGCGAGAGCCTCTCTTTCTTTCTTATCTCTTTGCTTCCGCTTTGTAATAACGCACTGGAAAGTTTTTTTTTTTTTTTTGCACGCGTACAGTTTTTTTTTTTTTTTTAGCTTATCTCCCCTTCTGAATCGCTTCTCTTCGCACAATTTTGTTCGCAACTTGAGCTTTTGGAATTCTTTCTTTCCCACTTTTTTTTGGGGGAAGGGACAGGCTAGAAGACGACTATTTGTTCGCTTTTGAAAGCCTTCTCGGGGGCAAAAGTTCAACATAGCCAATATTTTGTTCGCTATAAAAAGTACTTTTTACATGCATTTTTATTTAAATTTCCTGCGAGTTCGATATCGACAATAATTCGCTGTACCTGGGTTCGTTCTAAACGGGTTTCACTGTAGCATATTTGGGTGACGGACAATGAACATCTAATTTGAATGTGTCTGATATGAGGCAAATGTTTCAAAAGTTAATTAGCTTGCAAATTATTACTTTTCAATCCCACCTAATGTCCGCCGCAGTGAACAATGTTATGCCAAAGGAATTATTTTTATGCGAAAGCATTAACTCTCCCATGGAGTGCAGCCGGCGTTGTCTGTAACCACAAAAAATGGCACCTAGTCCCGTTGGCTGAGTGTAACGGCACCTAAATGCCGATTGGCTAAGCGAAATGGCACCTAAATGCAAATCATCAAGCATGCACATTCAGAAATAAAACGCAAAGAAAAGCACAGCAACGCAGATGCATCGTCGCGGAAGGTGTGGAGCCAGCGGAGTTCGACGCGCCTGCACAGTGGGGGAGCGTGATGCCACCGCTGGAGTGCCGTGTTCATTAGAAAGACCAGGGCGCGCTGCTTGTAGGAATGTGCTGTGTGTAGGAATGCTTTTGCATTCCTACACTTAAAGGGGCTCTGCAAGCATATTTAAGCATCTACCTTTTTTTCGGTTTCCACGTCTCTTGGGGTTCGGGCAAGCCGGCGGGCACGGAGAGAGTAACTCAATATCAGTGCGTCATAATTTAACCGGATGACGCGGAAACTTCCTCCACTGACGGGGGTGACCCGCGGTACCGAAAGCGCGCGATATGTGACGCTTTTGGTCCTGGGCTTACTACTGGTAAGAACCGCTAAAAGCTTTTTTTTAGTCGAAGTACAAAATATAAGTGGCACGAATCGTTTCTATTATTTATAAAAGTAGTTTTTGTTCAGCATTTTAGATCAGAAAAGAAACGAATCCAGTTTATAAAGTACGGAAACAAGAAATGACCCGTCGACATACCCGCCACCAAGCGGTGGAAAAGGCGGCGCATACTAGAAAGGAGTAGTGAGATCAGGCGCCGACACAGAAAGGTTCCGGATGTATGTGGCAGCGCTGCGGTCGTATGGACTGGAGGATCCGACCGGCTCCGAGCGTTCCGAAGGCCTTCGGCGAGCAACTTTGTCTTGCGGTTTAGCCCTTTCGCGGTATGGCAGTGCGAAGTGGCTCCCATTCTGAACTGATCTTTACCTTGTGTTTCCTGTTGTTTGAGACCAATGAAGTGTCATGTTGAATTAGTGTTTCATCGCGCAAATGCAATGAGAGTCGCTCTGGCTGCCCGCTGCATACAGCCTATCCAGAACATGCTTCAGTGGCGCCCTCTTGCGCCGTCGATACGGAGTGCGGCAGCCGTGAGCGCTCGCTGAGCTCACTACCCCTTCTCTAGTTCACGGCCACTCAAGCACCAAGGACGTCATGAAGGAGGTTATTTTTTGCTTGTTCTTGTCATTTTAATTTGCCTATAACTTTTAAAATAAAGCGAAATTCGAGAAAAGAAAAGTTTCATTAAGTTACTACGTTCAGTGCGCACAGGTTCGAAGCAAAATAAAACCCAGTAAAAAAGTCCTTGCAGGGCCCCTTTAAGCAGTTTTAAGTGTCTCTGTCGAATCTTTTCTATTCCAGGCTGCCCTTTTTCAAAACTTACTGAGATGATGTGACTGTGACTTAGTGTGCAAAAAAAGAAAGGTGTATCAACCCATGGATCGGCTCAGAGGGACGAGGGACGACGACGAAGAAGAGAAGAGATGGGTAGTGGTGTGCATGGAGAGCGTGCGAAGGACTGGCCAGGAGAATGTGCTGGGTCCGAAAGACACCATCGGCCAGGGTAATCGGCTGCCCGCTCCCGCTGTCTGAGCAGAAGCCTTGTCCCGGCGAGGGCAGTGCATAGAAATCTACGCTGCCCGGCCCTACTGCGAGAGCACACGGTACGGTGACTCTTGAATCATCGACGGAAGCCAACCGCTCCTGCTCCTGACTGCCAGCCACAACCGTGGGCCGACAACGACAGCTCCAGACACGAGACCCGCCGCTGCGCATGGTTGTTCCAAGACATGGTGACCCTTTCATTTCTTTAACTAAGCTAAGTTTTCTTTTTTTCTTTTAGTATATGATTTCTTGATTTCTTTTGTAAATACATGTTTTAAAAAAAACAAAGGACATGTGTATCTTGTCTATATTTCACCCTAAAAAACCTTGCTACACTTACCCTCGGTTGTTGGTGAAACAGCCTGTATATTTACAAGTGCCCTTGGGACCCCCCTTGCAATGCCTACTCACTGTGCCGCCGTGTCCTGGGGTCGGGAGGCCGCCACACGCTGCACACGCCCGCTCAGCCATTCCTGCAACAGAGGCAACTTCTCAAGCAAGAGTCCCAGTATGGCACACTGCAGTTCCATGTGCCTCAAGACTTCCCAGAAAAGGCTCCACAGACAAGGCTCGCCAGAACGACCCCTCAGATTTTGAACCCCTGCCGAGGCAAACGCTTCCCAAGCTACGTTTGCGCTGCTTCACATAAATTCTCACCATTCTGACTTCGTGTTTGTAATGTTCAACTTAGTCATGAGATACAAGAGGGAAAACGTGGTCCTAGCTTCGGTGGAGGCTCTCAGTAAGAAGCTGCTGTGGGCCTCACGGCAGAGAAGCCTCAGACCGAACAGAGAGATGAACCGAGCCAACGCCGGGCTTACTAGGGACCTCCCGGGCTTTCTGCCTGGGAGGTCCCTGGTAAGGTGTTCCCGCAGTGACTGACAGAGTCTTTCGATGGACCAAAGGGAACAATTACTGAAAGGAAACAGCACACAAGCCAAGCAAACCGGGAAAGTCCAGTATGACGTTGGTCAGATTGGAAGTATAAAGGGATCTTACATGCACCTCTTATATTCCTACAAGCACTCGCACCGAATGCTGTCGGTGTCAAGCCCAGCTGGAATGAAGGCTCTTGCGACCAACTGCAATTACTGTATAAAATACTGAGCAAGCACCCAATCTAAATTGGAAGATGATCGTGGACAACTGGGGGATGGGCGCTTGCTAGGTCCGAGAGCAAAAATACGGAAGGTGCACGCTGTCGGGTGGGCCCTTGCTTGGTCCGACCACTAAATTAAAAAGCGCCGTCATTTGCCAAGCTAATCGATTGTGCCAACGTGTAAAAACAGAATGTCACCGTTATTGTCACCGAACAAAAGGGTAACCCATCCACCAATATTTATCTCCTTTCGTCTCTGCACACCTCATCCACCATCTCCTGCTTTGCCGTTTCACCCGTGCTATTAATTCTCACGCTGTCCGCCGGTCGTGGAGATAACTGCCGCCCACGGCGACTGGCCGCTTGATGTCTCTTTCGAATATTTTTGAACTTGCTTAAAATAAGGAAGTGGGCATTTGATATGTCCTTTGATAAGTTTTGAAATGTTTCAAAAGTAGGGGATGGGTACATACTGTGACATGGGTGCACGCTCGGTATTTTACGCTACCACAATGAGTGAACAATCCGATGAGCCGGTCGTTCATCTCGCGATGAGAGCAAGGTCATTCAGCACACCTGAAAGTACTCTGGCATATTTCCTTCAGTAAATGTCGTTGAAAAGCTTCAGAGGTTGCTTCACAAAATAAATCGTAAAACACTAGAAAATACCTTACACTGTGTATAGACATCAATAGCCCCACTTTTCTACATTCTTTACATAGACTTCTATGTGTAGCCTGGTATCAAGCCAGGCTACACATTTAGATTGAATGTTAGCAATCCAGTCAATCATAATAGAGTGTGAGGGCCACACAGAGCAAGCATATTTCTTATCCAAATGGCATAAAAAGGTGGTAGTTGCCCGCTACTTGCCTGGTTTCAGCAGCAACAGATGACAAGCTTTATGTGGACTTCATTTAGTAGACAGTTCAAGCATATTTCAAAACTAGTGCAGAGTTAGGTGTAGGATGTGCAGAGTTTGCACATGGGAATTGCAAAGCAAAGTCAGCATCACACAGAAGTGTGCCCAACAGGAGTGCAATATTTAATTTTGTAATAAAATGCATAATTTATTCAAAGAGTGGCAATATATTTTTATTTCAGTATGAAGTAAATACACGTGATTACTTGCTCGTGTAACACAATATCTGAGCATTGTCCCCATGTCTCTGCTGGCACATTCTTCATGTTTGTACGTAACTCTCAACGACATCTCCGCACACCTGCAGCTCAATTTTGCCAACGACACGTTGGGTTTTCGCTTTGAGCTTAAGAATCGCTTGTGGTTTGTCGACATAGACATGAGATTTCACAAACCCCCAAAGGAAAAGGTCACACTTAGTCAAATCACACGACGCTGGTGGCCAATTCTGGTCCCCACTGCGTGACATGACACAGCCAGGACATTATTCTCGCAACAGAAAACGCATGTCGGCAGGGTCGGGGACATTTTGACGAATACCGTGTTGCACATGTTCATAAGCTCGAATATCGACACCTTTTTCATAAGTTATGCGTTTTCTTGTGAAAGTGAACCCGTCATTGGTGAAGCCCACACTCGAGCTCGTTGGCAGTCCACACCCCAAGCGTGATTCCCCGGCCAGCCGAGACGGGCACTCACCAGGCTCTCGTGCAGTTGTGCAAGCACACGCAGCTGGGCCACATCTGCCAGGATCTCGTGCTGGGGGATGAGCGTGCCACTGGCCAGGTTCCCAATCAGGATCTCGGACTCCTTCTTGTTGCGCAGCCGCACCTCCTCGGGCGACTCCTGCACGTCGCTCTCCTTGGGCTGCTGCAGGTTGGCCCAGTTGGGCAGAGACCTGCACGCCACAAACCCAGAGGAAGCTTGCCAGCCGATGGGAGCTAGTGGACAACCAACTGACGGCAAACCTTCTCCTCAAGCTCTGCTGCTTGTCGGCTGCAAACCACTTTACCAGCCGGCTCGCTGGACTGGCACAGTAAAACGCCTTTAGAACTAAGGGTTTGTTTTTTCCGTGTACACCAACAAACAGCGAAAGTAAAGTCCCAGCTAGTTTTACTAAAATCGAGGAAAGCCAAAAAACCTTGAATAGGAAAAGCCCAAGCTTCGTGGAACGAAATCTTCATTTGCACGTTTATTTTGTGTTACCCGGAACAGAGTCCCCCATTGGACTGTCCATAAGGATGCTACTTTCATTGGGAACCCCTTACGTCATTTCCTTTTCTCATCAGTACTGGGAAGTTTTCTAACTATTTGGGCGACGCGCAAGTTTCCCGGAGGTTGAGGAATCTCACGCCCGTGTCATGCCTGCGGCCCGTTTTCTTCAACGTACGCCCCGATAAATGTAATTTTTTTGACAGACACCGAAAGCTGACACTGAAAAACATCAAATATGGGAGGGGAGAGGGGGGAATTACACTCCCCCGAAACACCTTAAAACTCGAAGAAAAATAAACCCTGAAAACGCAGAACCCTATTTATATCTAGGGTTTCCTGCTTTCAGGGTTTATTTTCTTTCACATTCGGGCCTGTTCTCTCTTTTTTTTTGCCGTGCATTAATTTGCGTGACATCAGAGTGCCACAACAGGAGTGCGCGTGCCGCTACAGCACACGACATGGGAGCGTGAAACCAGTTGAGCGCGAGACATTTGAATGCATGTGTGCGCTGTGGAAAGTTTCAAGAATATTCGCCACTCCAGCAACCTAAAGGTGTTATTACAATCCGTTTAATTCTTAGCGTGTAACGCTGTTAAAGCTGCTTGCACCGAAGTGCGGCTTTGTGTTGCGGTCCATTTGCATGTGCTCTCACACAAATGAGACGCTAGATGAAGCCCCATGCTTGCACCGTAAGCTTTGGCACTATTATAGAAGAAGTATGAAAGTTAGCATTCAATAAAAAAGGTAGCTTTTAAGAGGTCGTGATTTGCCGGTTCAACAAAATATTCCAGGCTTTTGACTCATTCGGGGCTGGAACTGCTTATACTCTGTTTCACTTTATGTGCGAGTGAAGCCGAAGCTACAAGCACAAGCAGGTTGCTCTGAACAATGCATACACCGCACGAGTGAATGTGCCTGGCAGAGAATCTATGTGCGAACGAAGCTGAAGCCACAAGAGCAAGGCTAGAGCTTGCTCTTGTAGCTTCAGCTATGCTCAAACTTTAAGTAACTAACCGCTCCTTGTTTTTAAGGGGGGACATGGCCTCGGAATTCAAAATTTTCAGAAAAAAACCTTTTTTTCAAAAATGATATGTTTATGCTTATTAACTTCCAAAGAAGGGTTTCAGAAACCTTCATTTATAAACATGCAGGATTTATCTCAGAATAAAATATTTTCGACATGTTGGCAGCCCTCAGAGTCAGCAGGGAGCAAGTTTTTTGAGTTTTTTATTTACCGCTGCTTCATACTCGTTTAACCTAGCCAGAACATCTTACCCTCATTGGAAGTGCCATTTACTCCAGATTTAGCCCGTAGGAGCTTTCCAAGTTTACAAGTATCAATGGCCAGGAGAACCCAATACATTGAAATAGAAAAAATTCAGAAAATTTGGTATGAGCAATCTTATTGGTTGAGACCTGAAACAGGGTTTACGATTGGTCCTTCCCGGTGACGTGATATTGTGTCATCTACAGTAACGCCCCTTTACAGTATTTTCCACTTCAGATCCTATTCCTGCTTTGCTGCTCTTTCTCAGTGTGATTTGCCTCTTAGTTCTTGCCAGTTTATCTGTCAGGGAAGGCCCGCTACAAAAGTTAGCGTGCCTACAAACAACAGAAACTGGTAGCTATTGCCAGGGGAACAGGGAAGTCTCAAAGAGGAAGGTGCTAACAATGCGTCGGGTGAATTTTGCCTACCTCGGACTCACAGAAAAGAGAGAAACCTAAAGTTGAAACTTCAAATGCATTTTTCTCAGTTTCACTTTTTGGCAGGAAATGTGGTATGAGGAAATGTATCATCGGACATTTTGAAAGTGTAAAGATTTCATACAGTGGTGTCCTGGACTGAAATTTTCTGAGGAACAAGTTAACGTACTCATATTCTGAAAAAGCTAAATTCTTCATGACAAAAATTGAATATTTTAGAACGCAGAAATTTGTTAAAATTGTTTGCTCTTTTTGGGTGTGATTGTTTTTCTCTAGAATTGCATTTTCTACAATTAATTTTTACCTTAACTTGCACTACGGGTAATCTACTTCACATTAGACCAAACATTTTGTGGATTGCAATTATTATTTTTCGTTAATACATTTCCTAATAAAGTAACTTTTTTCTGGAGCTTGTTAAGCATAGTATGTTGTAGAATTGGCCTATAAGACTGCAACTTTAGGTGTCATCAATCCTAATGGGGTTCAATTCACCCTGAAAGTTTGAATCAATTTAAGACATTGGTTCAAAAGTTGACCCTCCCAGGCCATGTCCCCCCTTAAGACATTGCTCGTAGAAACTGTACATTTGATGATATTTTTTGCATTTTGCAAAACAGCCGTTTTTGCTTTTTATCATCCAAAATTGATTAGGTGATATCAAATTTAGGGGTTTTAAGAGCCAAACCAACAAAGGGCATCGGAACGTCCCAGCAGAGGACTGAGGATTAATGCCGACCACCTAGGAATATTTTTGACGGGCAACCGAGGTATCAGCTGCACGTCAAGAAGCCTTGCAATAAGCCTAAATCAGATTGCAGGCACCTCGGCCAGGATTCGAACCTGCCACCTGGGAATCCGCAGGCCGGCGCTTTGCCTCAGAGCCACCGAGGCGGCTGTTGGGGGATATGTGCTGCCACTTCCAAACGAGAACTGAAAAGGGCCTAAAAGTATTGCCATAGGCAATGGCCACCCAGGTCCGAACATAAATCAGGGGTGGAAGCAAGCTTCAGCCTTTTGCAGCAGGTCTGGGAGCAGCAAAGGTGCCCCTTTGGAGCAGCTTTGGAGCAGTCGAATTTCTGCTGTGGAGCAGCTCAAAAGCCACGAAAGTCGAGTTTTGTAGCAGTATTAAGTAAACCTTGGAGCTGCTCCCGCAGGTCAAACTTGGGGCTATAAGCGCAAAGATGTTTTGCTAAATACAAACATATATCACAACGAAAAAGCCTCTCCACGTGACGTTCCCGAACCATTTCCAAACGTACCCTTTCCTTAAATATATTCCAGCCCATAGCATAAAAAGTAAACAGTGTAATTGCAATTTATCTGAAAAGCAGCTATTGAGAATATGGATTTCCAATAAAAGGCATGAAGCGAAAAATAGGGACTCTAACCAAAAATTTAATAAACATTTACCCGACGTTTCGAGACCAGTTCGGTCCCTTGTTCATGGGCGAGCGACGAAAAGAAACACTGAAATGCCAGTTGTGGAACTACAAAAACCGTAGCAGAGTTAACAGTTACCATTGACAACACTGAACACAGGAGCCGACATAACAATCTTATTATTCATGGATTACACGAGGCAGAATCGGAAAGAGAAGATATCCTAGCTAGGTATGTTACGGAGGAAATCTTCCTGAAACAACTAGGTGAAGAGATCAAGAGCATCAAAAGGTTGCACAGGCTTGGAAAAAAACTACAAGGAAAAACAAGACCTATTATTATTAAATTCATCGACTACAGAGAAAAAATTGCAATATTAAGGAACTGCTCAAGCTAAGGGGAACGGCTTTACTAATTTCTGAGGATTATTCTAAACTTGTCAGGACGGCACAAAATGTCTTTGGGAAAGTTCTCAGCAGGAAAGAGATAACGGTGTTCAAATTACCGTAGAATACCGTGCATCCGCCCATACCACATTAAGCGCCCATACCCAAATTTATAAAATCTGAGAAAATATGCACAGTACATTGATATGTAGAATTGATGACCGGACAAGCACCCATCCCCCATTTTTTCATGATTATCTCAAAATTTTTAGTGGGCACTTGTTCAGTATTTTACGGTAAGTTGAGATTTGATAAAATGATCGTGGGGAATGAAACTTACGGTTGGAATCATGTTAGTGATGAGAGATATAAATGTAATACAGTGCCACCCACTTATAACGATAATGAGAAAACCCACAATTTCAATCGTTATAACCGGTTATCGTAGTATATGAACTAGAAATTGATCATTTCCAGTCTAGAAACTCTAGAAACTGATCATTTCCAGTCTAGAAACTCTAGAAAGTGATCATTATAACAGCTACATCATTATATCTGGTATCGTTATAAGTGGGTTACACTGTAGCCAGAATAATAAATAACATAGCCCACAAAAGACCCAGGGAAAGTTACAGACGTTGAAAGTTATAAAACTAAATGCAAGAAGTATTATAAACAAGGTGTCGGAGCTGGAACACATTCTGTTAACGTACGATCCAGATATAATCGTAATAACTGAAACCTGGCTTAACGGAAATATAGCGAGCAACGAAATCATGCCTCCAGGGTACGAAATTGTTTGAAAAGATAGGCAAACTTTGGGCGGAGGTGTTGCAATAGTATTTAAATCAGGAATTTCTTTTGTTGAAATGGAAGAACCAAAACAGGCCGAAGCACTTTGGTGCAAGGTAAAAATACATGGCTCCTGTCTAGTATCGGGAGTGCTATACAGGCCTCCTAATGTGCCTCTTTCAATCTTAGATAACACAAAGTCATATCTTTTAAAGCACTGTAAAAGTGACAGTAAAATTCTGCTAGCAGGAGACTTTAATCTGTTATCGATAAGTTGGGACTCCTTATCGGCCGGTTCTAAAGAAAGTGACAGCGTGGAATGCCTTTTAGATATCATGCTCACGTTCTACCTAGTGCAGATAGTGCAATCTTATACTAGAATTCAGGGAAATTCAATGTCTATACTTGACTACATACT